GTCTATCATTGCCCAGACCTAACAAGAGGCCCCTGACAGTACTCTACGCAGTCTTAACACGTAATGCGCACTGGCATGCAGGACCTGCGGAAAGGCGAGAGTACTTCTTAGAGTGACCTGGCCCGTGAGGGAGGGCCGTGTGGACAGTGTTCGGGCAGCCAGAGAGGATCCAGTGAAGGATGGGCTGGGCAAGGCCAGGGCACGAGGCTCAACAAAGGCCTCGCTGCATTGGTGGGATTACCTTGCCCAGGAATAAGATAGTCAGACCTCTCTAAAGAAGGCCTTTCTCCTGTTTGTTCCACTAATTTTAGCAAAGTTACAATTAACACTGTACCCTGAGCTCCTATAGGCCCACTCTACATCAAGCTTCCCTGCTGTCACCCCACGGCTGACCTCAACTTGCCTGCAATGAAGTCGTCTTCTATAAAGCCCAGGCAGAGTCCCCGGGGCAACACGCTCGGGCCCCTCCCAGGTCCATCTGCCTGCTAACACATGCTGCTCTCTGCTTTCGCTCCCCAGTATTTCTCCTCACCCTCTTTTGACTCGCCTTGTAATTCTTTCTGGGTTGACAGAAGATCCCACCCACCACAGAGTAACAGCAGCAAAATTAGAAACTGTTCAAAACATTTTAGCCGTTTATAAATGATCTTTAATATTCCAAGTAAGCAAGGCATCCAGCACTATTAATATAAAGTAGAAGATAACGGGGCCAAGAACATAACCTGTCAAAATTAGTAACTTTAAGCTTTTATTTAATAATAAGCAGGAAAGAACAAAATGAATGAGGAAGAGCCGGGCGTGGTCGAGCACACCTGTAATCCCAGTACTCAGGAGGCTGAGGCAGGAGAATTGTTGGGAGTTTGCGGCCAGCCTGGGCTGCAAAGTGAGCTCAAGGCCAGCCTGAACTGCATAGTGAGACCCAGTCTCAAAAAGAGAAAAAAAAAGTAAAAACATGAAATTCCTCCAGTGAGCAATTTCCACACTGTCCTCTCTGTCACCACCTCTTTGTAATGAATCATTCATTTGCAATTTTGATGAATGACAGCCAAGAATCAATTAATATCTATATTCTCACACAAGTCAATAGTAATCCCACACTTAAAGCTAGCTATTTTTCTTAATTACAAGAAAAATAAAACCAGCAACAGCACTTTTACGCGCAAGGAAATGGTATGATGTTTGAAGTACCAGTTTGAAATGCTTAACTTAAAAAAAGGAAAGAAAGAAAACATGCAGGCTTCAGGTGTTA